AAGATTTACCAAATCCAGTTAATTAACAGATCATTAATATTTAGACAGGAAAAAAACACATTTCTTCACAAACCAACACAGTTTCTTGCAGTCGTAACACCACCGTCAACGACAAGGTTATGTCCATTAACATACTTAGACTCATCACTTGCCAAATACAAGGCAGCTTCAGCTATATCATTCGCTCTCAATGTCTCTCCTTTCAAATTAGCCAAACTCCTCACAAACTCTTCCATTTCCTCTACGTCATCACCATCCTCCTCCACGTCACCACCACTCGGTTTTCGCCACGCGTTCACCAGCATCGACGTGGCAACTCCGAAGGGAGATATACAATTAACCCTAATCCCATACTTGCCTAGCTCACAAGCTGCGTTCTTGGTCAGACCAACGATCGCATGTTTCGAAGCCGTGTACGCATGTGGTCCCATGCCACCCATCACACCGGCTACACTAGCGGTCGAGATTATGCAACCTTTAAACCCTCTTTTGATCATGGCACGTGCCGCATGTTTCATGCCTAGCCCTGTGCCTCGAACGTTCACACGCATCACTTGGTCGAACTCTTCAGCGTCGAAGTCTAATATGCTTTTGTGTTTCTTTTGGTCGCCGAGAATTCCTGCGTTGTTGAACATCACGTCGAGCCGACCGAACCGCGCCACGGTTTGGTTCACAAGTTTTTCCACGTCTGCTTCGATAGAGACATCGCAGCTTATGAATGCCACGGCGGTTGCAGGGGGTTGGGATGATGAGAGGGACTTAGCCAGGGAAGAGCCCGCTACGTCGTCCACGTCGGCGATCACTACGGTGGCACCGTGTCTAGCGAAAAGTTTGACGGTTGCTTTGCCGATTCCATGTGCGCCTCCGGTGATGATGGCTACTTTTCCTTCCAATCTACATAGAGAATATACATTATGAGAGTGCATGAAACAATCCACTAACTGTCAATTGGTTTGGGATCGAAATTTATGTTGTGTAGAACAGACAATGTAGGTATCCGTACATATAAATTTGTACCTTTTATGAAGTAAAAATGAATTGGTCTCCTCTATCATGGGTTGGTGGAGGGACTGATAGGTCTGCTCAGGGATCACTTGGGCAGGCATGACGGATTTCTAGTGAGAGAAGTAGAGATAGTGAGAAAAGGAGAATTTCTAGCTTAAAGTGGAAATGAATAATAGTAAATACATACATGTACATCTATTTATATAAGTGTGTGTACGAAAGACAAGTTCCGAACCAGTGTGAAACATCCAATCATGCTCAAGTTTTGGAATCATTCTAAAAATTAATTTAGTACGTTAC